CTCCTCCCGCTCCGCTACGATGGCAAGACCGTCATCGAATGCAACCGGTTCCTGTCCCAGTTGCGCATCTACTGGCTGGTCAACACGTCATTGACCACCATTGAACTCAAGGTGCAGGTCGCACTTAGCCTGCTCGATGGCGATGCCCGCGCCTGGGCCACTCCCTACTTTGCCCAGCTCGCATCGGTGCAGGTAGGAGTACAAGGGGCCACGACCCCATTCGCGAACGAAGCAGCCTTTGCCGCCGCCTTCAGGGCCCGCTTCGGAAATCTCGACGATGAGGCGGCAGCACAAGTAGAGCTGGCGAAGCTCTGCGCGGACAAGTCAGTCCGCGAAAAACGCACCGCTGCGGAGTTCTCCGCGCTGTTCAAGGGTCCGGCGGATCGCTCTGGGTATGGAGACCTGGAGCTACGCGACAAGTACCTGAGCGGCATCCCCTCCCGCGTCTACCGAAAAATCGAGCTCGAGACCTTCACCACGTGGCAAGCAGCTGAGAAGCGCGCCACTGAGGTCGAGCAGATCCTCGACATCAGCCGGGCCCGTCGGCCCGAGCTAAACAACTTCTTCTCGGCACGAGGTCGAGGACGCGGAGGGGCACATGGTGGTGCACCCTCGTCGCACGCAGCTTCGGCCAGCATCAATGCGGCCGTCGGAAAAGGCAACTTCCCCGGCACATGCTTCGGCTGTGGGAAGCAAGGGTACCGACGCTTCGAGTGCCCCAATTGTAAGGATAAGCCTTACACAAAACGCGCCGACGCGCGGGCTACGGTTGCCTCGGGCTCCACCCAGGCTGCGACAAGCGCCCCCATCACGACAACACCCTCGGCAAGTATAAGTGCCGCTTCAGCGAAATCCGAGCAATCGGAGCTGGCGGACTTAATGGCACAGGTGAAGTCGATGCGCGAGGAGCTCGAGCATTATCGGGCGATGAAGGAGGAGGGTTTTTGATCCGGTCCGCGCTTCGTGCCGCACGCGTCGGACCGCGTAATAATAATTTGTACAATGTATTGGCGACTGCGAATGTGTACGAGTTGGACCACGGGTCCCAGCATTTCCACATCCCGGTGCGCCTCCAAGGAAAAAGACGGCACAAGGACATAATCGCCATGGTGGACAGCGGAGCCACCACGAAGTTTATTAACAAGCGATTCATAGTAGAGAACAAGGTGCAGACGCGGAAGTTGAAGGAACCAATTCCGCTCTATAATATCGACGGCACCCTGAACAAAGACGGAAGCATCTCGGAAGTAGCAGTGCTACAGATGCAAATAGGAGAACACGTCGAGAAGATGGTGTTCACGGTCACGGACATTGGTCCGGAAGATGTGATCGTCGGGTTGGATTGGCTACGTGAGCACAACCCCGAAATAGATTGGGAGGAGGGCTCCCTCAAATTGTCGCGATGCCCTGAAACGTGCAGTGCCAGGAGAACTGGCCGAATGGAGCAAGCAGCGACTGCGCGTGATACGGGGGACAGGCCCACGGCGCGCAGGCGTTCGCCGAAATCCAAACGGTCGGTTATAGGTGCCTGCCGGAGTAAGGTACTCCCGGATTTCGAACCCGAAGAAGATCCGGTGGGGGTAGAGTGGGACGAGACCGATTTGATCGAAGCCTGGGAGCAAGGCATCACGCTTCCCGGTGCTCCTCAGCTGTTCGTCGCAGCAGGACATACGTACTCCCAGCTATTCGCTGAGGAGGAGATCAAAAAGAAGGTCGTCAAGACCGCCGAGGAGTCGGTACCTAAACAGTACCACGAGTTCCTGAATGTTTTCTCCAAGGAAGCATCAGAACGGCTGCCTGAAAGGAAGCCTTACGATCACGCAATTGAACTCGTACCCGGCTACTCGACGTTCCATTCGAAGGTGTACCCCCTGTCGAACAACAAACAAGAGGAACTGGACAAGTTCCTAAAAGAGCAGTTGGCGAAAGGCTACATACGGGAGTCGAAGTCACCCATCTCGTCCCCTTTCTTCTTCATCAAAAAGAAAGAGGGAACACTTCGACCTGTGCAGGACTACCGCCGGTTGAATGCGATCACTGTTAAAAACCGCTATCCTTTGCCGCTGATCGCCGAGATGGTAGATAAGCTCCGCGGTGCCACGCTCTTCACCAAGTTCGATGTCCGATGGGGATACAACAACGTCCGGATCAAGGCCGGTGACGAATGGAAGGCGGCTTTCGTGACTAACCGGGGGCTGTACGAACCCCTAGTGATGTTCTTCGGCCTCACCAACTCCCCCGCCACTTTCCAGGCAATGATGAATGAGATCTTCCACGATCTCATCGTCGGCGGCAAGATCCTTGTGTACCTGGACGATATACTCATCTTCTCCACCAATAAAGAGGAGCATGAGAAGGTCACACGCGAGGTTCTGCGCCGCCTTCAGGATAATGATCTATTCCTGAAGCCTGAGAAATGCGAATGGGACGTTCCCAAGGTCGACTATGTCGGCTATGTGTTCGGTGGCGATGAGGTAGCGATGGATCCCGCGAAGCTAAAAGGAATTAATGAGTGGCCGGTACCCCGGAACAAAAAGGATGTCCAGAAGTTCCGGGGGTTCTCCAATTTCTACCGCCGTTTCATTAAAGACTTCGCTAAGATCTCGCGACCACTCGACCGGCTCACAGGAAACGACCCATGGCATTGGGGCGAAGAGGAGCAGCACGCCTTCGACGAGCTCAAACGGCTCTTTGCGACGACTCCAGTCCTAGCACTGTACGACCCCAATCGGGAGACACGCATTGAGGTCGACGCCTCAGGATATGCCACTGGCGGCGTGTTGATGCAGAAGCAGGACGATGGCAAATGGCATCCCATTGCCTTCAGATCCCACCGGCACAGCGGAACTACGAGATCTACGATAAGGAGATGCTCGCGATCATTGAGGCGCTAGACGATTGGCGCCACTATCTCGAGGGGTTGCCCAATCAGTTCGAGATTGTAACCGATCATAAGAACCTCGAGTACTGGCGCACGTCGCAGCACCTCACGCGTCGTCAAGCGCGATGGTCACTGTTCCTGGCTCGCTTCGACTTCCGCATCACGCACAAGGCCGGGACGTCCAATGGAAAGGCTGATGCCCTGTCGCGACGATCAGATCACCAGATCGGCGATGAGGACGATAACACCGATCAGGTAGTTCTCAAGCCGGAGCGCTTCCGCATCGCCTCCGCCAGGCGCGGTCATGCCTCGGTGACGGCTGATCAGTCGCTTCTGAAGCGCATCAGGGAGTGTTCGGAGAAGGATCGGGAGGTGGCCGAGGCACTTGAAAAGGTGCAGGATCTCGGGCCACCCCGGCTGCAAAGGGGTTTTGAGGAATGGAATGCCGAACAAGGGCTTCTACTGTTCCGCGGGTGCGTGTACGTCCCAAAGAATGCAGAGCTCCGGCGGGATATTGTCAAGATCCACCACGACTCGCCGATCGCCGGTCATGGTGGTCGTGCCAAAACCCTGGAGCTCGTGTCGTGGAACTACTGGTGGCCTGGAATGTCCAAATTTGTCAATGAGTACGTAAGCACCTGCGACGTGTGCAACCGTACCAAGACATTCCCAGCCAAGCCCCAGGGTCCGCTGAAGCCGAACGAGATCCCCGAGCGCCCGTGGCAGATCATCACGACCGATATGATCGTCGGCTTGCCGAAGTCTGATGGGTTCGACTCGATCCTAGTTACCGCCGACCGCTTTACCAAGCAGGTCCACTTCTCGGCCTGTCATGAGACCCTGACGGCAGAAGGCGCGGCAGACCTGTACATCCGCGATGTGTTCAAGCATCATGGGGCCCCGGCCAAGGTCATCTCGGACCGAGGTCCCCAGTTCGCTTCGAAATATCTCCATGCGGTGTACAAGGGACTTGGGATCGAGCCGGCGCTGTCCACAGCGTTCCACCCTCAGACGGACGGCCAGACCGAGCGCTGGAATCAGGAAATCGAGCAGTACCTACGTGCTTTCACAAGCCACAGGCAGGATGATTGGGCGAAGCAGCTGCCACTCGCGGAGTTCGCACTGAACAACCGAGTTCACTCCGCAACTGGGCACTCTCCATTCTTCCTGCATCAGGGGTACAATCCTGAGATCCAAGTGCGGATCAATCCGATGTCTGCGATGCCTGCAGCCGCTGATCGGCTCAAAATCCTGAAGGAGATTCGCGACGATACGCGCTCTGCGCTCGAGCTGTCAGCTGAGCGTATGAAAGTGTACTACGATAAGCACGTGCAAGAGGCACCGGTCTTCGTGCCGGGGGACAAGGTCTGGCTTGACGCTCGGAACCTTAAGCTGAAACAGCCGAGCAAGAAGCTCAGTCCCAAGCGCCTTGGACCCTATGCCGTGCGGCGAAAGCTCGGAGACCTGGATTACGAATTAGTCCTGCCGAAATCGATGCCGGTACACCCGGTGTTCCATGTCTCCTTGCTCAGCAAGTACACGCGTAGTGATATCCCGGGCCGGGAGCCGGAGGAGCCGCCTGCGATCGAAGTTGAGGGCGACGAGGAGTACGAGGTTGAGCGGATCAAGGATTCAAGGATCTTCCGGCGTCAGCTGCAGTACCTCGTCAAGTGGAAGGGTTATGACGACTCGCACACGTCATGGGAACCGGCGCGCAATGTTGCCAATGCGCCGGCCCTCATAGCCGACTTCCACCGGAAGAACCCGAACGCCCCTCGCCGCCTCAATGCTGCGGTATTTGGTGGTCTCAACTTTCAGCCAATGCCTTCGCCGCTGACTGAAGCACGCTGCCGCTCCGGATGGGAGATGGGCAAGGGCGCCTCGCATGAGGTCATGCGCCATTGAGGGGGGGGTAATGTCACGAGTTGGTACGGCGTCTAGCCGTTTTTTAATTTTTCCTTTTCGCGGGCTCGAACCCGCAACCTCTGTACTACCTGCCTGATATGGACGCGTCGTTATCTACTGTACGATTAGATTAGATGGGGCGGCAGCGCACGGCACAGCTTGGGCTCCGCTGACACAGCCTCTCTGACTCACCGGCCCCCGGGGCCGCGTCGGCATGCTGCGCACAGACCAGCTGCGCACGGACCAACGTGCACAGCCTGCCCTAATCTCCCCATGTATATAAACCGGCCTCTGCTGCCCTAGGGACCTCAGTTTCGACCTCTTGTCCCTAGGTCAGTAAGCTCTCTTGTACTTACTTACCTTTCCTTACTAACTAATATACTCTTGTCCCTAGCCTTAGGTTTGAGCGTTGCTCACCATCGCTTCGGTAAGAATCAGTCGGACGCCCCCAGCCTTCAGGTCTTTCTCCCAGTCGCTTGACCTCAAGTCGCGACACGTGGACTAGGTTCGTGCTGCATACTAGCCAAAAGCAGTACTGGGCCCCACGTGAACTGCGAACCCTAGTGTCTCCTTGGGCGCCGTAGGTGTAAGCTAGTATAGCACGGCCTTTGTAGTACGCGCACCTCCCCGTCCTTCCCCCATCCATCGTGGCTGCCTGTCAAGGCCAGGTTCACGCATTCGACTCTCAGGATCTCATTGACGTCTACCTCCCAGACGGCCCTGAGACTGTCATCTACCGTTGCGAGCAGTCGCCATGCCCCAACCGGACACCCCGATCGATTGTGGAGGATTACCCTTGCTATAAGGCAATCAGACGGGCTCAACACCCACTTGGCCCCCGCAGCACCCTTGCATCTCGATCCGCCTCGAGGCACTCTCGCCCTGTCTCCCCTACCTCCCGCCTTCCCCAAACTGTCGCCGAGTCCAGTTAAGCACGAGGAGATCTCCCTCCAGACCCTGCGCCAGAGCCTGAGCCTGATGAGGGTGAGAGTGAAGAAGGAGTCTCGGAGTCCGAGTCTGCGGGTCCTGCTCGGCCCACCTCGCCGACAGCGGTTGCCCCCGCGTCAGCAGTCCCTGACGTACGTGACCCCCCCACCGAACTTTCTTCGGCACCTTCACCGCCGACTCCACTGAGAGGCCGCTCGAGCACTCGCTTCTCTCAAAGTTCGACCAGCGAAGGGCCACCACAGCCGCCTCCGCCCCCGCAGCGTCCTCTGTCCCCCCCGACGCTGATAATGTCCTCTCCCTCAACCGCCCCTGACAAGGAGACCCTGAAGCTCCTCCTCCCACTCCGATACGATAGCAAGACCATCATTGAATGCGACAGGTTCCTGTCGCAACTACGCATCTATTGGCTGGTCAACACGTCGCTGACCACCATTGAACTCAAGGTGCAAGTTGCAATGAGCCTGCTTGATGGCGATGCCCGCGCCTGGGCCACTCCATACTTCGCCCAACTCGCATCGGTACAGATGGGAGTACAAGGGGTCACAACCCCCTTCAGGAACAAAGCGGCCTTTACCGCTGCCTTCAAGGCCCGCTTCGGAAATCTCGACGACAAGGTGGCAGCGCAAGTAGAGCTAGCAAAGCTCTGCGCGGACAAATCAGTCCGTGAAAAACGCACCGCTGCGGAGTTCTCCGCGCTATTCAAGGGTCCGGCTGATCGCTCTGGGTATGGGGACCTAGAGCTACGCGACAAGTACCTGAGCGGCATCCCCTCCCGCGTGTACCGAAAGATCGAGCTCGAGACCTTCACCACGTGGCAAGAAGCTGAAAAGCGCGCCACCGAGGTCGAGCAGATCCTTAACATCAGCCGGGCCCATCGGCCCGAGCTGAACAACTTCTTCTCAGCCCGGGGTCGAGGATGTGGTGGGGCACGTGGTGGTGCACCCACACATTGTTGCGACTTAGGGTCAAGCGACAGGGGAAAACTGTCACGAGTTGGTACGGCGCCTAGCCGTTTTTTTCCTTGAAGTCGGACTGGAATGTGAAAGTGTTGGGACCCCTGGTCCAATTCATACACCATTGCAGTTGACAATACATGATACTTGTTACAGGAAGATGCTCGTGGCCCGATGCGTGCGGCACGAAGCGCGGACCGGATTAAAAACCCTCCTCCTTCATTGCCCGATAATGCTCGAGCTCCTCGCGCATCGACTTCACCTGTGCCATTAAGTCTGCCAGCTCCAATTGCTCGGATTTCGCTGAAGCGGCACTTATACTTGCTGAGGGTGTTGTCATGATGGGGGCGCTTGTCGCTGCCTGGGTGGAGCCCGAGGCAACCGTAGCCCGCGCGTCGGCGCGTTTCGTGTAAGGTTTGTCCTTACAATTGGGGCACTTGAAACATCGGTACCCTTGCTTCCCACAGCCGAAGCATGTGCCGGGGAAGTTTCCTTTTCCGACGGCCGCATTGATGCTGGCCGAAGCTGCGTGTGACTGGGGTGCACCACCACGTGCCCCACCGCGTCCTCGACCTTGGGCCGAGAAGAAGTTATTTAGTTCGGGCTGACGGGCCCGGCTGATGTCGAGAATCTGCTCGACCTCAGTGGCGCGCTTCTCAGCTGCTTGCCACATGGTGAAGGTCTCGAGCTCAATTTTCCGGTAGACGCGGGAGGGGATGCCGCTCAGGTACTTGTTGCGTAGCTCCAGGTCCCCATACCCAGAGCGATCCGCCAGACCCTTGAACAGCGCGGAGAACTCCGTGGCGGTGCGTTTTTCACGGACCGACTTGTCTGCGCAGAGCTTCGCCAGCTCTACTTGTGCTGCCGCCTCGTTGTCGAGATTTCCGAAGCGGGCCCTGAAGGCGGTGGCAAAGGCCGCTTCATTCGCGAATGGGGTCATGGCCCCTTGTGCTCCTATTGTCACGAGTTGACACGGCGTCTAGCCGTTTTTAATTTTTTCCTTTTTGCGGGCTCGAACCCGCGACCTCTGTACTACTTGCCTGATACGGACACATCATATCTACTGTACAATTAGATTAGATAGGACGGCAGTGCGCGGCACAGCTCGGGCTCCGCTGACACAGCCTCTCTGACTCACCGGCCCCCGGGGCCACGTCGGCATGCTGCGCACGGACCAGCTGCGCACGGACCAACGTGCACAGCCTGCCCTTATCTCCCCATGTATATAAGCCGGCCTCTGCTGCCCTAGGGACCTCAGTTTCGACCTCTTGTCCCTAGGTCAGTAAGCATCCCTTGTATCTTTTCTTACCTAACTAACTAATATATTAACTTGTCCCTAGCCTTAGGTTTGAGCCTCGCTCACCATCGCTTCGGTGAGAACCAGTCGGACGCCCCTCGCTTCTAGGTATTCCCCTGTCGCTTGACCTCAAGTTGCGACACCTATCTGCACCGACACGAGCTGGGCGAAGTAGGGAGTGGCCCAGGCACGGGCGTCTCCATCGAGCAGGCTAAGCGCGACCTGCACCTTGAGTTTGATGGTGGTCAACGACGTGTTGATCAACCAGTAGATGCGCAGCTGCGACAAGAACCGGTTGCATTCGATGACAGTCTTGCCATCGTAGCGGAGCGGGAGGAGGAGCTTCAACGTCTCCTTATCAGGGACGGCAGCGGGAGAGGACATTATCGGCAATGAGGGGGACGAAGGACTGCCCGCAGGCAAAGGCGACTGTTGTGACTGTCCGCCGGACGAACTTCTCGAGGAACGAGTGCTTGAGCGGCCTCGCGGCGGCGACGGTGGTGAAGTCGGTTGAGGAAGCCCAGAGGCGGGGTAACGTAGGACAGGGACTGAAGTCGAGGCGGTGACCGCTGACGACAAGCTGGCCCAAGAATGCGGTGGAGTGTCGCAGGGCTCGGTCTTGGGAGGCCTTTCCAACCGCGGCCCCAGGGAGGACTGGGGGATCGCTTGAGGGGTCGCTGAAGGCTATGCGACTGCCTCAGTTCCTTGAGGGAGATGGGGATCTCCTCGCGCTTGACCTGTACTGGCAACAGGTTGGGGGATACGGGTGCCTGGCGAGGCAGGTCGGGATGGGACGGGAGTGACATGGCGAGATGTGGATCTTGAGGTGCCAGCGTATCGGAGTGCAGGGCCGCTGGGGTGCTGGACTCGTCGGATTGGTACGTAGCGCCCTTCGTTGGTAGTGATGGACCATGGGGTTCAATTAGGGCACGGTTGTCGATCACAGATGAAGAAAGGGGCTAGGTTGCCGTTGCGGTCTGGGTCGTCACGAGAGACGTCGACCTGCTCCTGGGTGTTGAAGGTGTGCTCTAGTCATGTCACGAGTTGGCACGGCATCTAGCCGTTTTTTAATTTTTTCCTTTTTGCGGGCTCGAACCCGCGACCTCTGTACTACATACCCGATATGGACGCGTCACTATCTACTGTATGATTAGATTAGATGGGGCGGCAGCGCACGGCACAGCTCGGGCTCCGCTGACACAGCCGCTCTGACTCACCGGCCCCCGGGGCCGCGTCGGCATGCTGTGCACGGACCAGCTACACACGGACCAGTGCGCACAGCCTCCCCTAAACATCCCCTGTATATAAGCCGGCCTCTGCTGCCCTAGGGACCTCAGTTTCGACCTCTTGTCCCTAGGTCAGTAAGCCTTCAGTTGTATTCCTTTCTTACCTTACTAACTAATGCATTTACTTGTCCCTAGCCTTAGGTTCGAGCCTAGCTCACCATCGCTTCGGTAAGAACCAGTCAAATGCCCCCAGCTTTTAGGTTTTCTCCTGTCGCTCGACCCCAAGTCGCGACATTAGGTCGAAACTCCCCATAGCTGCCGGCGTTCCCTCGAGACCCCCACAACTCACATTCACTTCCTATAGGTTGGGTGGTGCGCACCCTTACTGTACCCTACGATACCTAGATAGCGTACTATACATCGCCACCACTTAGGGGACGAACTCTTCAGTACCTGCACTTCAGTGGGCGGTACTTGTCCTCACGGACGCGTGGCTTAGGTTCCTGCTGCATACTAGCCAAAAGCAGTACTGGGCCCCACCTGAACTGCGAACCCTAGTGTTACCTCAGGCGCCGTAGGTGTAAGCTAGCTAGCACGGCCTTTCGTAGCACGCGCACCTCCCCTTCCTCCCCCCATCAACGTGGCTGATGAATTCTTCGACTGCTCT